TGCTGACAGCTCAGAGGCTGGAACCTGCTTTGGATTCTGTGTCTCCCTCTCTCTCTGCCCCTCCCCCACTCACACTCTGTCTCTTTCAAAAATAAACATCTTTTAATGTTTTTAAAAAATTTAATTAAAAAAAAAACCTGGTAACAAAACTAGAGTTACAACATTCACAATCATGACGTTTGTTCAACATGTTTATCAGCCAAATTAGCAAGCCTTCATTTATTTAACCAAAAACAGATTAAAGGATAGAATCTAATGCACTGAAAAGAACTGAAATCTTCAGTTCAGAACCTTGGATGGAACGCTTCATTGGTCTCCAGGCAAAGGAAAAGACAAATCTCTAAATAAATAATAACAGCTGACTATCTATGCAGTTCGGATTCTCAAATTCCTTGGGCCTAAAGAAGTATTTTCCCTATCATGAACAACAGAAAATTGCACAATATTTAATATCAAATTTTTTGAACATCTTCAAAATATATAAAACTAAAGTAACTCAGTCTAATTGAATAAAAGCCAATATAAATTTAGCAAAATTGAAAAATCATAACTGCAATGTTATTACTTCCAATAGGACTTGAAATAGGATAAAAATTATGAGACCAGGAGTGCTTAGGGGGCCCAATTTATAAAAACAACAACGTTCAATCTATTGTTTGAAACTAGATGGGATCTTCCATATTACTTGAAAGTTTGTTTTAAATAACTTAATTTTTTTTAACATTTTTATTTATTTTTGAGAGACAGAAAGAGACAGAGCATGAGTGGGGGAGGGGCAGAGAGAGAGGGAGACACAGAATCAGAAACGGGTTCCAGGCTCTGAGCTGTCAGAGTCTGACGCTGGGCTCAAACTCACAAACCATGAGATCGTGACTTGTGCCAAAGTTGGATGCTCAACTCACTGGGCCACCCAAGCGCCCCTTGTTTCAAATAATGTAAATGGGAGGGGTGCCTGGCTCAGTTGGTTGATTTCAGCTCAGGTCATGCTCCCAGGGTTGTGGGATCGAGCCCCACATGGTGAAGCCCACTTAAGATTCTCTCTCTCCCCCTTCTGCCCCTCTCCCTTGCTCCCTTTCTCCCCTGCCCCTCTCTCTCTCTCTCTCTCTCTCTCTCTCTCTCTCTCTCTATATATATATATATATATAAAATAAAAATGTTTTAAAATAATCTTTCAAATGTTTTAAAAATGTTTTAAAATAATAAATGGGAGAAAAACTGATGAACATCCCTTGTCCTATCAGCTGAGCAAATCTCACTTCCTATCATGTAGAGATAGTATATACTACCTTCATCCAACTTATCATGAATTGCAAATCACAAACTTACACTTACATAACTATACTATATTTTATTATACTACTCATCTTTAGACCTGTAGTACTTTTTTTTTTTAATGTTTGTTTATTTTGGAAAGAAGAGAGAGCACGAGCAGGGGAAGGGCAGAGAGAGATGGGGGGGGGGGGGAACAGAGGATCCAAAGCAGGCTCTAGGCTGCCAGCAGAGAACCCAATGTGGGGCTTGAACTCACGAACCATGAGATCATGACCTGAGCTGAAGTCAGACACTAAACCAACTGAGCCACACAGGCGCCCCTAGATCTGTAGTACTTCTTCAAAAATATATAATATAGGGGCAGTTGGGGGGCTCAGTCAGTTCAGCATCCGACTCTTGGTTTCGGCTCAGGTCACCATCTCATGCTTTGTGGGTTCGAGCCCCATGTGGGGCTCTGTGCTGATGGTGTAGAGCATGCTTGGGATTCTATCTCCCTCTCTCTCTCTGTCCCTCCCCCACTCACGTGCACATGTACTCTCTGTTTCTCAAAAGTAAATAAACATTAAAAAAGTAAAAATAAAAAAATAAAAATTAATTTAAAATGTACAATATAGATTTCACATCTTCTTTTTTTTTTTTTTTTTTTAATTTTTTTTTTCAACGTTTATTTATTTTTGGGACAGAGAGAGACAGAGCATGAACGGGGGAGGGGCAGAGAGAGAGGGAGACACAGAATCGGAAACAGGCTCCAGGCTCTGAGCCATCAGCCCAGAGCCCGACGCGGGGCTCGAACTCACGGACCGTGAGATCTTGACCTGGCTGAAGTCGGACGCTTAACCGACTGCGCCACCCAGGCGCCCCTCACATCTTCTAAAGAAGCATGTATTGCCCAGATGTACCGTGATCAAAGTTGAAATTACCACTCTAGGTTTCTTTTTTAGGAACCATAAACAGATGTCCATTGATAGATGAATGGATAAAGAGGATATGGTACATTTTATTTACACACACCAGAATATTACTCAACCATAAAAAAGAATGAAATCCTGTCATGTGCAAAAATATGGATGGACCTAAAGTGTTTTATGCCAAGGGAAATAAGTCAGAAAAAAGACATCGTCTGATTTCACTTATATGTGCAATCTGAAAAACAAAATAAATGAACAAAACAGAAACAGAGTCATAGATACAGTAAACAAACTGTTACCAAGGAGGAGAATGGGGGGGGGGGGGGAGTGCACAAAATAGGTGAAGGGGGTTAAGAAGTACAAACTTCCAGTTATAAAATCAGTAAGTCATGGGGATGTAATGTACATCATAGGGAATATAGTCAATAATATTGTAAGACCTTTGCACGGTGACAGATGATAACTAGACTCACGGGAATTTCATAATGTATAAAAATATCAAATCACTATGATATACACCTGACACTAATAGGATACCATATGCCAATTATACTTCTATTTTAAAAAAATCAAGTTTTGATATAGACTCACCAGTAATCCTGACACTAGTATTTCCTTACACTTCTTCCAAATATAGTTATATTTGTATTTTTCATTGTGTTTTTTTCTGCTCAAATTTTAAACTAGAAAAGTCTCCACTTGGATTTTTTTTCCCCTCAGTTCTTGCATTTCTCCTCAATCTTCCCATCTTGATCTGGTCCATTTCTAGAACTAGAAAGTTCTAGAAATTTTGCAAAAGCAAAACTCTGAAAAGTTGTATTTCCTTAAACTTTCCAAATCCCTAATAGTGACATAAACAATTTAATTCACATAATGGCTTGTGAATAACATCCAAAAAAATATCACAAGGCTATGAATATCATGTCTCAGAACTATTTTAGAAATCATTTTTTCACCTGCAAGAAGGCCAAACGATTTACCTGTAAGTCCCATTAACCAATCAGCAAATAAAAAACTATTGTTCTATCTCTGTGGGCATTTTTATTCTCAAACTAATGATTTATTTACCTTTGGGTTATCAATTCTCAAGTGGAAGCAGCAGTCAATTGAATTCCAATAAATTTCAGCTTGATAAAATACACGTTAACACAGAGATGACATTGATAGATATTAACCAGGTGATGGTAACTACCTCACATTTAACCAAGTAAGCAAATAACCAAGGCAGACCTTGGTTTTAGCTACCACTAATCTACCGCTGCAACTCAAAGTACTTTGAAAATTGCATACTTATCCAGTTGTCTTTATATCATACCTTTAAGCATAACATTAAGAAGCTCCTGATTATTACATTTCAAAATTTAGATGAGTCATAGTGCTTTGTATGCAGGAATTGAATGTGAACCAAAATTGTAAATATGCACCTGCTTGCTAATCAAAAAGTAAATGTGGGCAGATTCAGAAAGATTAAAGCATATAACCATAAAACACATTGTGTTTTAAAAATGGTCACTTCCCAACCATTAACACGGTTCAGTAAACATGTCGATGCCCCTCCTCTCCTTGAACATTTCAAAATTAGAGAAAACTTCTAATTCCATCCCCTCACTTTACACACAGGCACCTAAAACCTAGGGTCTTTCATAGTACAGTAAGCAATATTACAGCACCTCTAGCCATCATGGCCTGAGGCTTCCTAGAGGTGAAAGTAAGAAAAACTGAATGAGGTCTCAGAAGAGCTCTATCTTACCATATAGAATCATGAGCTTCTGTACCTAAATCTGGAACCTGAAACTGAACCATCAACATCAACAAAAAAAAAAGCCTACATCTCAAATCTAGACAATAAAACTGGCAGATACAATGGGGGAAAGGCAGGGAATGCCATGTTAGTTTCTGACATAAGACCCTAACCATCAAGGAATTCATCAAAAAAAAAAAAAAATTGTCAAATGGATGAATGAACGATTGCATGATACTGGATAGGATGACTTCACTGATTGCAGAAGCACCAATTTCAGGAACTAAACTGAAGGATCATGATGATGCCATAGCTGAAATTAAAACTCATGGTGCAACACACAACTCGTACGTGCAACACAACAGCAAGTCTCTGCAAATCTCCACATAGGTGTTGTAGGCATTTCAAAACATATATATATACATATATATGTTATTATTTTTTTTTTTTTTTTAGGTAATTCCAGCAAGGGAAGACAGAGCCTGAGAATCAGGAGGTCTGAAAACAGGCCCTGCTCACCCATAAGCCTTTGCATTGAAGTGGACTGGATCTGAATGAGTCACTGGTAATGAGGAGACCGTCCCCGTCCCCTCCAGGCCCCCCACCTCCCGGCCAGAAAGGAAAAGACCCAGAATCCCCTGCACTGCCTTCAACTGGGAACCGGTCAGGGAAGAGTGGAAGAACTGCAACCTGCTGCAGGTTAAGTATGCAAGGATCGCGCTGATCGGTTTCCGAGTCAAGATCCTGCTGAGCCCCCACCGCAAGCACCAGAGCCGGCCCCACCCAGGCATCGCGGAGCTCTCTAACGCAGAAGGCCTAGTCGTCCAGGAGTTCAGAGCCCAGACAGGAAAGGACGAGGACAAACGGCAGAACCTGTCCCATTCCTGGCCACCCACGCCCTGGTGCGGCCCTGCCGCCACATGCTCCACTGCCCCATCTCCCAGCACAGCCCCAGGCCTGCAGGGCCTAAGCCGCCCTCCACGCCAAGCTGAGACAGGCCACAGGCGAGTGTGATCCTGCGGCCTCTGAGCAGGGGGCAGCGGCCCGCAGCCGGCCGCCTGCCACCCCGCATCGCTTACCTCCCTTCTGCCACAAGCTCAGCCCCGCGCCGGCTGCCTGACGTGGCCCGCCCCGCCGCCTCGAACGTCTGGGGGCGGGGGCTACGGGGAGAGAACCAATGGACTGCAGACTGCGAGCGCCTGCCGCGCCTCCTCCGGCTCCGACCCGCCCCTCCCCGCTACGTCGCACGCATGCCCAAGGCCAAGGCCGCGCACTGCGGCTGGCGGGCGGCGTGGGCGGCTGGGTACTTCTCTGCGGGAGCCCGCGGGCCGGAAGAGCCGCGCCGGCAGGTGGGGGGCGTGGGGTGGCACCGCAGCGGGGATTAGCCTACGAGACAGCAGATGAAAGGAACTCGCCTGGAGATGCCACTGCAGCGTGCCCGGGTAGTCCTGTTGGCAGCCTGCCCCTATGCAGCTTTTGACGATGCAAAGCAGCTTTGGAGATTGTGTTTCTCAGGAACAAAAAATAGTCCCGAGAGCATGAAGGATTCAGAAAATTTATGCAAGCAGCCGACTTGTCACGTCGTTCTTTCCCCTGTAGCTGCTGCCTCGTATTTTTACTTCCTTGGCCGACACCGAGCACTGCCGCTCTCAGTGCTACACTGGTACATCCACCTGTTGGATAGTCCCATAGGACGTTATAGCCTGGGTATTTCTGCTCGGTTACTCGGGGGACAGCAGGCACGCCTAATTGTTACTATTTTTGTCTAATAATTACTGAATGTCCACCTGTGCGTGAACAGTCGTTTTCATAGAAGACTAAATGCCGCACACAGTAGAACAGAAGCTGAAGGAGGCAGCAGAAAGAAAAAAAAAAGGCTATGAAGGAAGAATTCTAGTTGTGGAAAAATTATACACAAGAGTTAAGACAAGTTGCTCTAGAGAACCTGACTTACCCAGCAGTTTCCAAACTACCTTCAGAAGTAGGTATGTATATAGGGGCACCTGGGTGGTGGCTCAGTGGGTTCAGCGACTGACTTAGGTCATGATCTCGCAGTTGGTGAGATTGAGCCCTGCCTCCAGCTCCTCCTTGGCAGCACTGAGCCTGTTCACTGGAGTTCTCTCTCCCTCTCTCTCTCTCTCTCTCTCGTTTAGAACATTTTTTTTAAGAAGGTATATATAGAAGTGGGGAGCTTTTTAAAAAATACCAGTACCGGGGTCCCATCACTAGAAATTGTCTATTTAATAGCTCTGCTCTGAGTCCTTGGCATTGGTACTCTTAAGCTTCCAAAGTCATTTTATGCTGACAAGCACAAAATCATTCGTAGGAAGGATTTGGTTCCCTGTACCCCACTTTAGAAAAGTAATTCTATACCACAGACCATTTCAGTTCTCTTGTGCATTCTGGAAGAATATATCTGAATTGATTTTGAAACTACTAATATATTCAATCTCTGTTATCCACTGAGAGAAGTAGTTGTATAAGGTTTATCATTGCCTTCTTGGTTTTACAGAATTTGATATGGTAACCTTGAAAATAAACTGGCAGTTATTTTACCAGCCGAAGATGGGTTTATTCAGGAATAGCAGAGAATTGCAATCCAGGACATGCAAGCTACAGCAAAACCATAGGCAAGTCCAACAAACAAAGGAGAGGAATATTATTTTATGGAGAAGAAGAATGAAATCCATGAAATCCAATGAAAATCCATTGGAGAAAAGCAAGCGTTCAGGGTGATGCTGGTTTCTCATTGGCTGAGTTGCAGGGGTAGTTCATTTCTTATAGGAAGTGCAAGGTGCATCCTTTCCTGGTTGGGGCCTGTAATGGACCATTCTTTCCTGTCTAGGATTCTTCTGTTGGGTCTGTAATTGACATTGAGTGGTATGGCTTTTGCTACCAGTCTCCTCTTCAAGTATCCCAAGTCCACTCTACTGAGGTTTTCCTTAATTAATTTTCACAGTTGTTATTTTCCTTCAGTCTTAATAATTCCAAATGCATCAGCATTTCTTTAAGACCATCTTAATTTTAATTACCCCCCCCGTTTAAGCCATTTTAACTCTTTTATTTTTTAATTTTTTTTTAATGTTTATTTATTCTTGAGAGAAAGAGAGACTGAGTGTGAGCGGGGGAGGGGCAGAGAGAGACAGAGACACAGAATCCAAAGCAGGCTCCAGGCTCTGAGCTCTGGGCACATAGCCCAACGCAGGGCTCAAACTCACGAACTGTGACATGACCTGATCCAAAGTAGGACACTTAACCGACTGAGCCACCCAGGCGCCCCTAAGCCATTTTAATTGTTTTTTTTTAATTCTTCTATTCCCTTGGGTTGGCACATTCAGAAGAGCATGTGACTCTTAATCTCAGGGTCATGAGTTCGAGCCCCACATTAGGTGAAGAGATTATTTAAATAAAACTTAAAAAAAAATTCTATTCCCATGTTTCTTGAGACGCATTAGTCAAAGTTATAAGTGAACATTAACTATGTGAACAGCACTGTTCTAAGTAAATCAACTCATTTAATCTGCAAAACAACTTATGAAACCAATAGAGTTATTACCAACATTTTATAAATAAGGAATGGTAGGCACAGAATGGGGAGCATCTTGACCAAGAACATGCACCTACTTAGTGGCAAAACCAAAGTTGGAATCCAGGCACTCTGACTCTCAAACAGATGTACTGTCTCTGCTGTAGAAAGGCTGGCCTTTAGGAGTACATGAGGAAATGCTCTTTAAAAAAAATTTTTTTTAATGTTTGTTTATTTTTGAGAGACAGACTCTGAAGCAAGCTCCAGGCTTTGAGCTATCAGCACACAGCCCCATGCAGGGCTCAAACTCCTGAACTGTGAGATCATGACCGGAGCCAAAGTCGGACGCCCAACTGACTGAGCCATCCAGGTGCCCCAGCAAATGCCCTTTTAAAGAGTGATGTAAGTCAGGGCACCTGGGGGGCTCAGTCAGTTGAGTGACTTCAGCTCCGGTCACGATCTCACGGTTCATGGGTTCGAGCCCCGCATCAGGCTCGCTGCTGTCAGCCTGTCAGCTCAGAGCCCACTTGGGATCCTCTGTCCCCCTCTCTCTGCCCCTCCCCTGCGTGTGCTCCCCCAAACAACAAATAAGTAAATACTAAAATAAAAAAAATAAAGAGTGATATAAGTTAGTATGTGATTTTTCCCTTTTTCTTTAAATGCTTTTAATGTTTTATTATTTATTCTTGAGAGAGAGAGAGTACAAGCAGGGGAGAGACAGAGAGAGAGAGAGGGAGACACAGAATTCGAAACAGGCTCCAGGTTCCAAGCTGTCAGCACAGAGACCAGCTCGGGGCTTGAATTCACAAACCTCGAGATCATGACCTGAGCCGAAGTCAGACGCTTAACTGACTGAGCCACCCAGGCACCCCCACTTTATTTATTTATTTTTTTTAAGTAAGCTCTATGCCCAATATGGGGCTTAAACTCACTACCCTAAGATGAAGAGACGCAGGCTCTACCGACTGAGCCAGCCGGGGGCCCCTGTGATTTTTCACTTTTGAAAATTGAGATTCAGGGGCACCTGGGGGGCTCCGTCCATTAAGAGTCTGACTTTTGATTTTGGCTCAGGTCATGATCTCATATGCATGGGGCTCTGCACTGAAAGTGCAGAGCCTGCTTGGGATTCTCTCTCTCTCTCTCTCTCTTCCTCTTCCTCTCTCTGCCCCTACCCCGCTTGTGTGCACACATGCGTTTTCTCTCTCTCTCTCTCTCTCTCTCTCAGAAGCTGCTAGTCCGTGACAAAGTTTTCGCTGACAAGTGCTGAAGTGAAAACTAAATAAGGGCAATGTATTGAGTTTTCCTAAAAATAAATGTATTCAATTTATTTTTTTTTTAATTTTTTTATGTTTTTATTTATTTTTGAAGGAGAGAGAGAGACAGAGCATGAGCGGGGGAGGAACAGAGAGAGAGGGAGACACAGAATTCGAGGCAGGCTCCAGGCTCTAAGCTGTCAGCACAGAGCCCAATGCGGGGCTCAAACTCACCAACTGTGAGATCGTGACCTGAGCTGAAGTCGGACGCGTAACCAACTGAGCCACCCCGGCGCCCCTAAATGTATTCAATTTAAAGAACAGTACTTTTTCTGAAATTATGTTTCGGTGGTGGTGGTGGTCGTGCTAAAAATGTTCTCTCTTGTATGGAATGATAATAGTCATTGATAATAGTCATGATAGTAGGTTATAGTTTGGAGTCGGCGGTTATTTTTTTTTTTTAAGTTTATTTATTTTGAGAGAAGAGAGAGCTAGCGAGCCGGGAGGGCCGGGCTGAGAGAGAGAAAGAGAGAGAGAGAATATCCCAAGCAGGGTCCGCATTGTCAGTGCGGAGCCTGATGCAGGGCTCGACCTCACAAATCGTGAGATCGTGGCCTGAGCCGAAACCGTGAATCGGACGCTTAATCTACTGAGCCACCCTGGCACCCCGAGTTTGGGGTTTTTTAAATGATCTTAATGTTGGGTCTCAAAATGTTTTGATGTTTTACTGATTTAGCTTAACCCAGTTAATTCACCGAGAGGGAAACTAAGATTCCAGAGGAGCAAAGTCCCGTTCTTTTTGTACTGCATACCCACAGGAAAGGCCCATTTTGAGCGCGGGGCTAGAAATTTTTTTAAGTGATGATAGCAAACTTCAAAAGAAATCAGGGTCAAGGTTAGACAACAAAGATTAGAACTGGTTCTGATAGGCCAGCTGTGTCGTTGGCCGGGAGGAAAAGGCTCCTGCCTGCTTAATTAATCAGATTAGCTAAGTAGATTGGTTTCCTTCTGCGCTGAAAGCAAAGAATGGGGCCTGAGGGAATACAGCTACTATATGCAGTTACATTTTGATTGAGGTAAGACCTGGGAAGGTCAGTGTGATGGAGTAGGGCGCACCCACGTCTGATACGGATATTTGGAGCCCTCCATAAGCGTTTCCCTGACAGTCAGCCTGGGGAGATTTTTCGAGAAAGGGCCGGAAGAGGGAGGCCTCTCTGGGGAGCGATGAGAGGAGAAGCCACTTCATTCGTATAACCTGCAGAGGTTGAGCTAGATTTAATACTAAAAGAGCCAGGACCGGATGGAATTGTCAACTGAGGGATGAAAACACGCTTCAAATCTGTATATTATTTTCTGGACAGGCTGAGATGGCAAATGCAAATGAACTCTTTGCCTTTTAAGTGTTCGCGACAAACCAC